CTGCGTTGTTTGAGACGTCTCTCTGTCTCTCTCTCCCTCTCATGGTCCTGGGGCCTGGGCCGCCCTGCTCTGCGTTGATGGGAATGTAAGAAACCCCCGCCTTGTGCGTACCCCTGAAGGCAGTCACGTTGGCAGACGCAGTTCGTGAACAGACTGAGTCACTTCCAGTGATGCACAGAAAAATAAAAACAAATGCAAAATTACCATTCAAACCCCAGCATTGCAGTAGATGGATTGTTCCTAATTACCGTATTGTGAAATAAATGGCTGGTTTGGGTCCTAACATCAGAGCTCTCTTGTATCTTTGAAGCTATTTTGGAAAACTTATCTAATTAGTTTGGCAAGTTTCATTTGTAAGAGGGGAACAGATAATATTTACAAGGATTTTTAACCCTAGTCAAGCACAGTGACTTTTAATTGCTACTTTAAAAATGAGGTATGATGGGGGGATAGTTTTTCAGAGTTTCTTTTAAATAGTGGAGCAATTTGCTAACAAAGAATCCAGCTTTCCATGATTTTAGATGACATCTGGGACCAATACTGGGCTGACAATACAGTGAGGAGAGGACAGGAAGCAACTGCTTCATGAGTTTATAGAGTGGAAGTGGGAGGGATGGGGACGAGGCCCCGGGAGCTCTGCCCAGGAGCACCCCGCGGGAGGGCTTGGCAGGGCGCTCATCACCGGGAAGGGCTGGGCGGCAGCGCTGCGTTTTATCCCGGCTCTCGGGTCGGCCCTCACAGTTGCATGAACTTTGCCTTAACCTGCCGTTAAAATCTCAAAGATAAAACCAGCAGCGTTTCCCCCCCCTAAATATCTTTTACTTTAGAAAGAGTCACTGAGGGAAGCAGAAAGGCTTTGCAGAGAATCTGGGAAGTCACGGGGTGAGGGGGCCTTCTGGGATAGCACGCGCCACGGGAGTGCCAGGCGTACAGGCACCACGTGGAGAGTAGCGATGTGACTGTCCTGAGAAGGCCCTTCCAGTCCTCACGCTGCAGAGGCTGGAGAGCGGCTGGACTGGGCCCCGGGGGGGGGGTGTCCCGGCAACGGGGGCCTTCACTCCCTCGGCTCCGAGGGCCAGGCAGCTACCGTGGGTGCTCCAGGGGTTGGGGTGGGACCGGGGTCGAGGAGCGATGAGCCTCATGCGGCCGTGTTCCCCTGGGGAGAATGGCAGGGATGGAAGGCTAGTGAGATGAGCTGCTCATTATACAGTCTGTGTTGGGGGTGCGGAGCCGTGCGGGGTAGGTCGCCAGACTGTGGCTCATTCCAGAGTCGGTGGCCCTTTGTGGGGCTGGGATTTCCTAGGAGACGAGGGTGAGAAACGTGGTGTTTGGAAGGAGAGAGCTTCTCCCCACTCTCTGTCCAAATTTGCCAGTATCTCCCCACCTCCCCCGTGGCATAGATCCTCCGTTATGAATCCCTCCATCCTTTGTTTCCCTTGCGTGTGAAATTATTATTTCAGCTGCTTAATTGGTTCAGGAGGCTATCATGAGGCAGCTTGAGAATCCACTCACTGATTCTAAATTACCAGCTTTATGAAATTTCCAAAAAATAAATGACTTGTAAGTCAGAGATGGACTGTAGTTTGTAGTCAGTCTTATTTTAAGTAAGATTTTAATAATTACCACAGTTCTACCACAGTGCACCACAGAAAGGATAACTCATGACCTATGGTGAACATCAGGAAGTCCTAAAACATTGGTTAAAAAGAAGTAGTATTTAAAAAATTGATTAGGAAGGTATATTAGTCAGTTCGCTCCAGAGAAGCAGGACCACTAGGATGGGGATATGTGCGTATGATGATTTAGTGCAAGGAAGTAGCGCATGTGACTACAGAGACAGGGGTACAGCCTGGAGAGCCAGTGATGTTGTTTTCAAAAGCCGTCGTCTACCACACACACACATACAAACTCTTCGGTGAAGGGAGTAGTATCTAAATAAGTCGTGTCGTGTACCGAGATTGGGCAAAACTGTAAATTTTGCTCATTTCTGAAACAAATGAAATGTGGAAGTTGAGGTTTTATTTCATGTGATGTGATGAGTGGGCCATCAGGTGGTCCCTCTGAAGGATTCCTACGGTGGTGGTGGTGGTAATTTGATGCCTTAGTTTTAAGAAATCAAGTTCAGAAAGAGACTCGACAAAACATTTATTAACAGGTAATTCTGGAAGTCTTAAAACTCTTTCTAAATAGGTAGAATGTACAAGGTCTGTCCCGAAAAAGTCCAGCCATTGTTAATATAACGAGAATGGTTTTTGTGACATCAATGGAGCCTGGCAGCCCAGGAGAGTGGACTGGAATGTGCATACATGAACAACGATGACTTCACTGTACCCACCGGTGGGGGCCGTAGACGCCGCTGAGTGAGCACGTGTACTGTGTGGCTGTCACATTCAACATGACTGAGCGAGTGGAGCAACAAATCTGCATCAGAGTTTGCATTAAGCATGAACGTCCTTCTGCGGAAACCATTCAGATGACTCAGAAAGCTTTCGGGGACGACGCAGTGAGCGCAAGGCAGATAAAAGTGCGGCACAAAGGACGGCCTGCAGTCCCCCAGGTGACTCAGCCGCCCTGCAGCCCGGATTCGGTGCCCTGTGACTTCCGGCTTTCCCCGAACTAAAATCACCTTTGAAAGGGAAGAGATTTCAGAATGTTGATGAAATTCAGGAAAATACGATGGGGTGGCTAACTGAGAGTCCAACAAAGGATTTTGCAGAGTGTTTTGAAGAGTGGAGGAGATGCTGGGAGAACTGTGTGAGGTCCTCAGGTGCCCAGCCTGAAGGGAACTGCAACAGCATTGTCCTATCTTCAGTGTTTCTTGTATCTTGTATGTTCTTCAACAAATATCTTTATTTTTCATATTACGGGGCAGGATATTTTCTGGACAGACTTTTCATATAGGAATAGACTGGAAAAGTACAGTTTAAACAGTTAATGGCTAGACCATTCCAGACAGTGTGACCAAGTATTTAATCCCCCTGCTCCCACTTGCAATTCCGTTATTGTTATCCCGTTTGCCAGACGAGGCGATAGATTCCGAGAGGTTGGCGTCTTGGCCGGAGTCTCACAGTGGCCACATGGTAAGATCTGGGCTCCCACACACGTCCCACGACACCAAGTGTGATGTCATTTCCCTTCACCCGGCCCTTGCACCTGCCACCCTGAGGGCGGAAGCAGCGTCTGGAGGACGACACCAGCGTTTAAGAGGACGGCCAAGGGAAGGCAGCTAGAGGAGGTCAGAGGACTGGAGGAGAGGACAGGCTCCTGAAAGGCGGCGTGAATGTGGTCACAGCGTGGGCGCCAGTGGCTTTGGTAGAAGGGCTCCTGAACCCCGAGAAGGCTGGGTTGGGCGGAGCAAAGCCTGCAGGGCGGCGACACCCCAGGACGGCGCTACTGTGTTCAGGAAGGGGGTGAGGGGCCGCGAGGGTAGCTGGCTGTGGGGCGGGGTAACCGCGGCGCTCGTGAGGGCTGAAAGGTGGTGGGGGGAGCCGGCCCGGGCATCTGTGTGCCGCAGAAGGCGACGCCGCCAGTGTCCAAGCAGCTCTGGGTGCGAGCTTGTTTCAAGTCTTTTGAACTATAATCAGTCTGTCCAGTGGTCAGTCCCTTGTAAGAAGAGGCCTCTGAAAGTTATTTGAAGTAATCTGGGAAGTGTCTAGGCCCTTGGTTATTTTTTGAGCAAATGTCTAGCACATCAGTAGGAGGCCACGTGGCACTTATGATTATAGCTAGAACATGACATTGTGAATCAGCGCTGATCTCAGACGCCCTAACTTGGCTGCTGTGTTGTCATTTCCATCCATCTCGTGGGCTCAGGGTTGTGTTTTCTGTCCTGTGTTTTGCTGTGTTTTGATTTCTGGTGTTCGTTTTGTTTAGAGATCATAAAGGGGCTTTTCGCTTCTCTAAAAGCCCATTACTCATCGGCATGTTTTTATTTTTGACAGATACGTGTGTTCCGTTCGTGGGGCTTCTGAAATATGTTCACAGCATTAGAGTCACTTACTAGGGGGTTGGGGTTGTGTCGACGCCTCCCTAATCGGGACAGAATTCGGAAGTCCGCTTCCACCACCGCGGCTTTTTAAAAAGCAAGTGCTGAGCGTGTTTGCCGCCATTTCCTCTGATGTGAACTGCACAGTCGTTTCTGCACGTACCTGCCTGTAGCAGACGCCTCTGCTCGTGCTGTGGGTGGGGTGCGCTTCCCTGTGTCTCTGGCCATGTCTCCACGTGAGCTGAGCGTTACCGTTTCTGGGAGAACTGCTGTGCTCATCCTCTGGAAGGCCCTCCAGGTGCCCGGGCTTGCGGACCTACACCGCTTTCTGTCTGGTGCCACACCCTGGTCCTGCCCAGCTCGCAAAGTGCTTCAGCAACCGACCCACCAATAAGCAGCAGGGAGGGCTCAGGGGTGGCCCTTGCCCCCCACCCACTGCAAACGCCGTGACGGCTCAGCTGTGCGGGCTTGGTCAGGGTGGCTGTAGTAAAATGTCACTGCTGATCACTGCACAGAAGACTGCTTCCATGCCACATACTGGGCAGGTCCTGGGGACATAGTAGGGAGCAGAGAGACAGAGTCCCTTCTCTTGAGGAGCTCACAGCCTAAGGAGAAGACATCTCCTTCAATCAATGCAGCAGAAAGGCAAACGAAGCTTAATAACGAGTAGGAAATACATTCCTCACTTATTAGCCAATGTATGTTTATTAACCACCAGGGGTTGGTGCCTGGGTGGGGAGTGGGCATCGCAGTGAACATGTGGGAAACGGAAATTTAGCAAATTCCCTATCCTGGAAATTCCTGTTTATAGTACTTATTCAACTAAGGAGTTGGCAAAGTTTAGAAACTTAAAAAAGTTGACTCTGAAAATATATAAAATTAAAACGTGGCCGCGCCTGTAGCTGTCAGAGGGTGCTTCCCGCTCACACGCACGCTCCCTGCCCACGCGCATCGCGCGGTGAGCCGCGCAGCCCCGGGCGCGCCTGTCTGATCGCTCCTGTGTCATTTCTTACAGCCATTGCCAGCTTCCGAGGCACCGTCCCCTACGGCCTGTCGCTGGAGATTGGAGACACAGTGCAGATCCTGGAGAAGTGTGACGGTGAGTGGGCGGCGGCGCCCGGGGCCGTGCCGACTGCCCCGGGCAGCTCAGGACGCGGGCGCGCTCTGTCCGCGCGCCTCTGGTGCCGCGGCTTTTCCCCGAGTCACCATGAACCGTGTTTGGCAAGACTTGTTTCTTGCATACCTGTTGTTTGGCGTGTGAGAAAGCATCCTTTGGTATTTTTAAAGCTGATGGTATTTTCTCCTGAATATTATTTCCTTACATTCACCAAATGCCAACACAGAAAGCAGTCGAGGCTACTGTATCTGTGGGAGTCCGTGACTCAGTCCCAGACTCAAGGTCCTTTCTTAGACTCTCAAGGGCCGGGTAGACTCCCCAGGACAGGGGGCCCAGAAGTGGCTGCCCCAAGGTGGGCTGGCCGGAGCCGCAGGGGAGGGGTCCTGCCCAGGTGAACTCGGCTCCCATGCGGTGGCCCGCTGTCCCCAGCCCTCCAGGTGCGCACTGGAATTCTTGGATGCGTTTGACATCTTAGTGGAGTATGTTATGTGAAACTGTATGATGATTATTTTTTTTTATAGCAGATTACTCATTAAATCAAGATACCCAATATATTCTCAAATGTTTCCACTCCGGTTCTGCAAAGCATCCTTAAACTTTAGTCCTTAAAAAGATCCCAATGAAATGACTGTTCTTTGTGAATAGACTGAACACAAAAGTCCCATCAGTACATCCTCAAATATTCATTTCCTTCCTAACCTGTTGTCCTGATTAGGAATTTATAATATGATAATATTCTATCATATCAAGGTTCATTATTGATTAAATTGTATTCCTCCCAAACAGAGCTGCTGCATTTGGTTAGAAGCTGGTAAGACATGAGCATTTGTCCTGGCTACTGCAGTTGATACCTTTAAAAATGTAATGTTCTCTATGGCGTTGCCAGATGCAATTTGTCTGTTTCTACTTTGTATGCAGATAAGTATAAAAACTGTTTTGAATTAGTGCCTTAAAATGTGATCCACAGCTAATAGGAACTATCTTGTAATCTAAGAACTTTCTGTACAGTATAATTGGACAGATCTCTCCATGACATTTGTGCAGTTTCAAGAAGTTTGGCTTCTGTTAGAATAATTACTTAAGAGTGGATATATTTCTTGGATATGTTCTTTAAGGGATTTATTAAACCCTAAGATACAGAAATTTCTGATTCTTAATTCACTTTTTTTCTTCTGGTTTTAAAACCATTAGGCATGATTTTTCTTTTTTTACAGTATATCCTTAAAAAAACTTATGAGGAACAAAAATATTTAAACACAAAGTTCAAGTATTTCTTTTTGAAAATTCTATTAATCAAAAAAATTGATTCAGTAGAGCATTTGTTGCATGGTAAAATAATTTCCTACTGATAAATAAAAATGGTTTCTCTACTTGAAACTATAAGTTGAAAATAATACATTTATAAGGGGCTGTATATTAACTCTACATTTACAGAAAAAAAATATATATATTCCTGTACTTGTTTTATAAAAAAGGTACGTTCCCTGTAAGGATGGTGCTGTGGAGCCGATTCAGCACTGCTGGGAGGTTTGGCAACAGGCCTTCCGCTTCTGTTACTTTTATTAATAGAATAAAAGCGACGGTGCTTGGACCCTGAGCTGAGGAAAGGGAGTGCCCATTAATTCTCTCGTGGATGAGACATGGCTTCACCCTCCTCTTTTTTTTAAAGAAATTATTTTGTATCGGTTTCAGGGGTACAGCGAAATGGTTCAGAATCAGTTGCTTTACAAAGGTGTTTCCCGCCCCCGCCGAGCCCTCCGTAGTCACTGCAGCCTGCTCGACTCTGTCCCCTCTGCTGCACTCCCCATCTGGGGCCATGAGCCCGGCTCGGGTCCCGGAGGGCAGCCCAGGGGACAGGCAGACTCACCACGCGCCTGCTGGCCGAGCGTCAGCCTTTGGTAGCCGAGTCTGGGCTTTGTATCCAGGCAAAGAGATTTTGGAAATATATTAAATCTTGTGCAGATTCTTGAATTTCTCTGAGACGTAGCAAAGAACAGATTGATTTGTAATCATTTCTTTAAACTATCACAATGATTTATTTAAGGATGACTATGATTATTTCTTCACAGGCTGGTACAGAGGATTTGCCTTAAAAAACCCAAATGTCAAGGTAAAAAAATTATAACTTCTAACCACAGCTGTGGGATTTTTAAAGTTATTTTACGTCATTTCATTATCCAGTTGAAATTACAGTTGGGACTCTCAGTTGAAATGCCAAGTGGCAATACGGATTTTCATAATTTCAGAAATTCCTTTGAACTTGGATTATAGTTAAGAAATGCTACTGAAATGAGATAATCCTGTGTAGCTCTGGAAATTTGTACTGAGAAGACCTTAATAAGCTCATTATACATAAATAAGATCTTTTTGAGGCGTTAGTTTCACTGAGGGCAAAATTAAACTTCAGACAAGGGGAATACATATTTCAAAAGAAACATTGAAGCAAGATATTGAATCTTTTCCGTAGTTACCGTTTGCAAAGCACTGAGTTGGGGGAGCGGGTTTATCTCAGCGCTGTGTTAAGAGAGCTTTGCGCTTTGGCAGCTGAGACATGGGAAAACCATGACATAATGTGGCATCTTCCTGCCACGGCAGACGGGCGCTAAGACCCGTTGTCCTTGATCTATTTGGATGCCTCTTCAGGACTGAGAGCACTGTGGTTTTTGTTTTACCTTCCATTAGTGTAGTTAATGATTTTGACACTAATCTTTACCTCTGTCTGTGTTCTCCTCCTCTATTCTAATCTCCCCAACCTTCCCCCAATACTTTCCACATTCTCAAATATTTTCTTATGTGTCATGTTCTCTTTTTTGGTTGAATTATGGCTTAATGGGATTATAGATAAGAAATTGTGTGATTTTTTTTCTTTTGCCTGAATTTCCGCCTTTTACCCTTTTTCTGGATGATACAACTTTGTTTAATTACTTTATTTCATTTATTTTAGGTCATTTTAAAGGAAAGCCTGAGGGATGAAAGAGTATGCAGATTTAATTTTTTTTTTTTAACACTATAGCCCTCATTTAAAGTTATTTTTGGACATCTGCTACTCACATGCAAATATAGCTTCAGTATTTAATTATCCATTTAGAACTTGTTTGAGGAAAAATATCTATTAGACTTCTGTTATTTCTGTCATTCTTTTAATTTGAAATTCTGAATTTTTCTTTATTGTAATTACTCTGTTAATCCTACCATATTGAGGCAAATTTAAATTTTGAACAGTATTTTTTAATCAATGTACCTCTTTACTATTGTTTTGTGTATACAGAATTTGCTTATTAAATTTTATGTTATCCTTGGATACATAGCGGTGATAATGTATTCAAATGACATTTGTTTTTCTAAATATTTAATTGAATTTGTCATTTGATTATACATAAAAAATCATTCAGAGGATATTGTCATTTAATGGACGATAAAATTGATGCTCATCTTTTTAATGTTGTTTCTTTCAATTTCCCACAGAGAACAAAGGAAATTTTCTTGTCCCATCTTTTCCCCACAATAAAAAGCTTGAAGCCAGCCTGGCTGCTTTTGTTTAGTTTTTGTTTCATGGGAATGGCAGCCTGGTGATTAGTTACTGCTATGTTTTCATCGAAGATCTTCCACAACACTTAATATACACATTGTCTTAAAATTCAAATTAGTTTTTTTTTTCCTAGTGTGTAATTTTAAATACACACATGAGTGTTTTGGAGAGAAGAAAAAGAGTACCCAAAACAAACAGAATGACCTTTTTTCAAAACCAGGCAATATTGTGTAAAAAATATTTTTCAATATAACATACTTTTTAGGCAAAATTCCTGAAAAATTTTAAAATTTCTGTCATATAAAGATATGTTTTCGAATGAGATTTAATTGTTTTACTTTATTTTTTTTCCCCGATCGCAGACGTCCATCTCTCCTACCTTTGCCCCCCGCCCCCGCCTTCACGCCCACTCCCCTTTCCACTATCACCACATCGTTATTTGTGTCTGTGGGTTATGCACATATGTTCTTTGGCTAATCCCTTAATTTTTAAAAATTATATCTGTTTTAGAGAATTTAAAATCTGTAAGCTAGTGAAGAGTAGAAAAGAAAAGGAATGAGTCTACGCGCCCGTAGAGTTAGCCTCGGGAATGTGGGAGAGATGTTGTTTTCTGCCAGTCCTCATGTTGTTACGCTGTAGGCTGTGTTTTCGACACATGACTTGTGAACCCACCTCGGACAGACCCCTAGCACTGCAACCTCGCTGTTTTTCTCTTCCAGGGTATCTTTCCTTCCAGCTACGTCCACTTGAAAAATGCCTTTGTGAAGAACAAAGGGTAAGAAATGAGTTTTATTAATAGTTGGGGGATTTTCACAGAACCATCACTTATTTTGAAATTTGAAAAGCTTGTTAATTGTTTTGACCGACGAACAAAAAAAAGATGATACCACTGTCCGTGCTGTTTTATAAAGATGAATTGCGCTCACCCGTCGGCGGAGAAAATGAAAGAGCCACGTCTGCGTGTGCTGGTCGGCGGTGGCGTTAGGGCGCCGTGGGGGCCCCCACTGTCCACACGGTGTGGCCGTGGCCCAGCCCGACACAGGGGTTGGTTCGCTTTGGCTTCTGCCGCAGGGAGGGAAGCACGGTGGCCAGGCCCGTCGAGTGCTGAGTCATGTCCCAAACCCCAGGAATGTCCTGGACTCGCCACGGACTGTAAGCAGCGAAGTCTGTCTCTCTACTTGGAGAGAGGACCCTATCCTTGGGTGACCTCGTCACAAAGCCATTATTATGCTTCCGAGAACGCCATTTCTGTGATATTTTTCTCAGTTAAGCTCATTGATTGCCTAGGATTTTTCATACACTTAAAGAGTTTTTCCAGTCTGTTTTCAAAAGGACTTGGGGCAGCTGTGAGGACCAGAGATCACCGAAGTAAAATACCCCAGGATGCAACCATAGAACTGGCTCACCTAAGTGGCTACACTAGCCGGTCAGTGTAAAGGCCACGGATTTGGGCCCCCACGTTAGCTGCCGGTGTCACAAGGAATATGCATGGATCGTTGAATATTTTTTATTTTAGGACAAAAGAAAGACTGGGTTCAGCCATAAAAATTGTATTTTCCCTCAAATAACCGAAAATAGCAACTTTTCTGAATTTTTAAAGCACATTCTAGAGCACGGTAACTGGGATCTTCCAGCTTGAGGTTTACCAAAAGAATTCCAAGGATGCCATTCAAATGGATGATTCTTATATCCACTCTCCATAAAGGCAGGGTATTAAATCTTAGTTAGTGAAATAACTTCCACCCATGGCTGAGAGTCTACAGTACAGCGTGTGTTTCCTAGATGGATGAAGCTTAGAGTCGAGGACACTCTTATACTGTATGTCTTAACTACTTGAAGCAATATCATTGTTATTAAGAGTAGTAATAGTTAGTAACCACGTAACTCAGTAGTTGAAAACCCTGGGCTATTAATTACCACTGTTACTCCCCTTTTAATGAATGGGTGTTCATCAGAAATGTTGTGTCACTATAATCTACCAGAAGTGAGTCAGGCCAAGTGCTTGGTGCTTTGGGAGTACCCCCCGCCCCCCGATGCGGTGTGATGCTGTCCAGCCCCCCCTCAAGTCACCCTGAGGAGAGTCCCCAAAACACGTCAGCCACCAGCTTGTTCTTTCACCTGACCTGTCGGCCCCAGTGATCTGGGCTGGGCGACGTGGAAGCCCCAAGGTCTCTCTACCTGGTTCCATGACGCGAGCACCTGGGCAGACCCCGGCGGCCAGGCCTCTGCGCTCCCTGTGTCTCAAACCCCACCCTGAGATTTTCAGAGCGAAGGGCCGCCCAGCCCCACTTCCACTCTGACCACGGGACACACAAGACGGGAGCCTTTCCGACCCGTGGAAGTCCCATCTCTCACAGCAGATTCGGGTGGGGCAGTTTTTATGAAAATGCATGCCTTTTGCTTTCCTTTTGCCCTGGATTGTAACTGTCTCATATCTCGCCCTCTTCCCTGGGCCCCGAGGAAGAGGAAATGTGGGTAAAGGTGACCCAGAATTTGGTTACGTTTGAGACTCGTTTGGCGGTGAGTGTGCCTGCCACAGTGCAGGATGAGCATCACACAAGAGAACTTCGGGGCAGAGCCAAAATTTATTTCCTTAAAAAGTAAAAATGTTGGAATCGAGACCCTAGATTCTAGGACTGTTAACAGGAAGCAAAGCTTGAGCTGGAAACGGAGGAGAGCTGTCTCACCTGGGGACTGCTTCCCCGGGGAGGGGCCTCGCGGGGGTGCGATGTCCCTGCCTCAGAGTCAGGACCAGCAGCCCGTTGGGCCGCCAGGGCGAAGCGGCTGCGGAGAGCTTCTCCGAGCCACCGGGCAGAGCCCCATTGCAGGGGCAGCTGCTTACGGCAGGCTCTGCGGAGGCTGATTCTGGTTTTGGTATAATTAACCGGAAACAGCTGCCTCCCTGAAAATGGCAATTTTGTGCTTCTTGAAAATTTAGATTTGGGTTGAACAAACCCAAATCAACTTCCCGCAGACTGAATTGCCTTCGTGCCCTTGCCTGGGTCGCTGAGGGTGGTAGGGAGGGGGTCCGTACTTTGACTTAGAGTTCGTGAACGGCGAGGCCCCGCCTGGATTGGTCACTGCTGCGGGGTCCTGACGCTTTTGAAGGTGCAGTGGGCGGCGGCATGTTCCTTGAAAGGCGCTGTTCCCTCCTTGAGCTTGTATCTGATCATTTTGTCATCCCTGCCTCCAAATAGTCATCAGTGAAATCGCAACAGCTACTTCAAACACAGAGTGAGTGCACTACCATTTGAAAATGTCACTTGCAGGCTTGATGCCAAGTCTGTGTGTGCCACAGTTCATGTATTCTTGTTTACTTTCCTCCTGGCTTTACATTTTCGGTTGTGTTTAAGCTCCAGGGGGGAGGGAGACAGTCACAGGGCAAGTGTTTTAGCAGCAGCTTGGAGCGAGGAGAGGAGACGGTGTTGGGGCAGAGATCAAGGCGAGATTTTAGTTCCCGTGAAAACTTAACGGAAGAGAGTGCACCTTCTCCAGACATAACATCGAACAGGGACTGCAGAGCATTTGTGAACTTCATGCTAGAAGTCATTTTCTTGGTTGAGAATCTAATATGCTGTTATCCTCTATGTAGTAGACGTTGTTCTTGGGGAAAACTCAAATGAAGAAGAAAACCCTCATCAATATAGTCGGTAGCATTCTTTTGAGAAGCAGTAGTAATAACCCCTTAATGATTTTAACCTGCATAAAAACGGAAAGAATTTGAGAATAGAAACTTGAGATGAAGAAAAAGGTTATTGTAGGTACAAAGAACAAATTAAGTCTTCTGTTTTTTTCCCCTCCTGTCTCCTTATGTATCTACTCAACAGTGGGACCCCACCTTACTTGATAGTGGGCTGAGTATTTCCCAAGAATAGTTGCTGACTTATAGGAAAGAAATCAGGAGAATATCTTGCCCTGATCGTAGAGAAGGACATTTTGCAATGGGTACTCAAAAATCTGTGTTGGCTTAAGCCCTTAATAAGTCTGACAATGCATGATACCACCACTAGTAGGCAAAACTAATCATTTTCAGGGCTCCATTTACAAACAATAAAAATGAAGCGGTGAGGCATCCTATGGGTGTTTGGTCAGTGCCTGGTGTCTCGTCAGTCTGGGAGCTCACAGCCGCGTCACGCCCTGGGGTCGCAGGGCGTGGAGAGCAAAGGCCCCGTCTGTCCCGGGAATGGGGGCCTGGGGGCCTGGGGGCCTCCCGTCACAGGCAGGGCCCAGGGGCTGGGAGCGCTCAACGCGCTGCTGCTCCCTGCGCCCGCTGTGGCCGGGGCAGAGCTCTTCCGATATTACTGCTTCCCCGCCACCCTCCTCCGTTCCATCTGGATGGCGTGGCTGGTCCCTTTGGGATGGCAGTGCCGTGACCCCCACTGCTCGCCAGTCCAGAACCGGCCCGTCACCGTCCACAGAGCCCAGGGCAGCGACGTGGCTCCCTCCCTGGGGTTACCCTTGGGGGCATTCAGAAGGAAGTGGCCGTCCGTGAGGTCTGCATGCGTACTTCGTTTTTCTTCTTTGATTTCACAGACAGTTTGAAATGGTCATTCCCACAGAAGACTCCGTTATCACAGAGATGACGTCGACGCTGAGAGACTGGGGGGCCATGTGGAAGCAGCTCTACGTGGTAGGTCCCTCCCGGCCGCGCGGTGTCTTCGATAGAGAATTGTTTTCGGAAATGGCTGGACAAGGGGAAGCGCCGGCTCTGCGTCCCCAGCCCTCCTCCGGGAGCCCAGGACGCTGGGCTCGGGGACGGCCGTGGTGCGGTCAGTCCCCGTGGGCGCTGCGCACTGGTCTGCAAGCTCTTTTCATCGCTGCAGGAACGCAAGAGATGATTTTCCTGGCATCTAATGAAGCAGGGTGTTTTACACGGAGCTAGTGTCAGGCTTTCTGAAAATATCTAAATGTAAAGAAGAAGTAGACTTATTTTCAACATAGTTCTCGGACTGGTGGTATTTTATTGTACTTTAATTTGCTGTATGATTCAAGTATACTGAAAGTGTGCAACTGCTTGCCCACAGTCAATGAAACTCTTTAAATCTGCCATGAAAAGGAACGTTTCTTGAATAAAAAAGGGGGGCAGTGTTCTGGGGGCCTGTGTATGCGTACTTATCTGCTTACCAGAACGCATGGCACTTACTGCGTGCCTGCAGGGGGCGCTCTGTGCACGGCGTCCCCTCTCCCCACAACCACCGGCGGGAACGGCAAGCCTGACCGTCCAGCTCGCCAGCGAGCGGGGCGGGGAAGGGAGGCCGCGGGTGGAGCTTGTGGCCAGGCAGCGCTGTTGGAAGGTGGCTGGGCCGGGGTTCTCACAGGGACGGAGCCCTCCCCGGGAACCCCTGGATGTGCAGAAATTGGTGAGGTGGGTCAAGTTCATTATTTTCAAAGGAAGGCATAGAACAGCTTCATCATTTGCAGAGGTGCGTTCAGATCACGATGGTGTTCTTACCCTGACGAAATGATTCGAAGGGCCTGTCAAAGGGTCAGTCCAAATTAAAGAGGGACATGGGCACAGAGTGCCCGTTTTTATTGTTTGTTCCACATAAAGTGCGGTAGGACATTTTATTGAGGCAAGAGAGTCTTCAAAAGCCCCGGAGACAAACCCTTTTGGTTTGGACGCGTCTGGCCGGGCCCTGTGGCTTCAGCGGTCAGTGGCAGGGCCCCCAGCAGGATCGCGGATGAAACGCCCGCGTCTCCGCTGGGCTGGGGCCTGGCCAGGGCAGGGTGGAGGTCACCGGGCTCAGGGCTGGGACGCTGCCCAGGGAACGAAGGCCTCCTTTGAAGATGAAAAGAAATGATATGTTAGAATGAACATAAAATCCAAGTGTTATTTTACTTAAAATAACATTGTGCGTGATGGTGACATGGAAAATGGAACTATGCGAAATGTTCAAATGACCGCCTCCCGATACCCAGTGTGCGGCGAGTAAAAATAACGGCAGTGTGTGTTCTGCTCAGTGCCCAGGCCAGCACTTACCCTTGTGTGTGGGGAACAAAGTTGCATTTCCTCTTGATTGTGCCTTTTCTAGCCCTTTGGCCCTGCTTTTGAGGTGTCGAGCGTCTATTTTGGGGACACACTAGATGGGCTGGAAAATCTTGTGTTGCGAGCTCTAGGAGTAACCTCCTTACCGCCTACTGTTCCGAGCAATAGAGGCAGGAATATTTTTACAATTTCCCCGGGCACTGGGACGGTACTTACACCAGGAACAAATATAAAGTTGACCCAGGAGATGCCAGATTTTTGACCTTGAGCCATACTTGGCTATGCTGGACCTTCTGGGTGCTCTTTTTCCTGACATGCATGTTTCGTGGTGAACGTTTTAGTGTAAGGCCCGTGCTGGAGTGGATCGGGTGCTGCCCGCGGTGTTTTCCAGCAGTCGTACGGCACCTCGCCTCTCCACTGGAAGGTGTTGGATGAGGGCAATTATGTCTCGTACATCATAATCACTATGCAAGACCGACTTGATAGGAGAACACTTAGCATTGAAGCACACAGTAAATGCTTGAGAAATGCTAGTTGCTCTACTGAATACCATTGGTGAAGGCCTAAGTAATGTCCTTTAAAATATCACTTAATGCATCAGTGACAGAGCTGCAAAAAGCTTAGGAGCAGTACAGCGGCCTTCTGTTCTGGGTGATGTGCGCAGCCTTTCGGCAGAGAGCTGTGCATCTCTGCCAAGCAGTCGGACTCTCAGATCTTCGCGGAGACGACCTGTCCTGGGCCCCAGGTTCAGCCGCGGGCCTGAGTGTACATCCGGGTCTGTCGGCAGCTCCAAATCTCACGCTGCTTCCATCGTAGACAGGGAAAAACTTCCCTGTTCTCGGAAACACTCAAAGTCTCACAACTAAATTTCTGCTACATTTCTGATATATTGCAGGGATGTTTAGGCATTGTTTTATTTCAAGCGCTTATTCCTGTACCCTACCTTTTATCATTTAACGTGAAACCAGAAGCATTGGCTGCCTTCTGCGTTGTCTGCCTAGCCACCCCATTTCTAGCGCGTGGTTGCTGGAGCAGCGTTGCATGATGACCAGCTGTCAGAGCAAGCAGCGATTGGGGAGTAATGCTTTCCACTGTGTTGGCTTTAATTGCCTGCAGTCGCGGTTTCAAGAAAGGAGAAAAGAAGTGGTCAGGGAGGACTTCCTGGCAGAGGTGGGGGTGTGGTGCTAGAATTGCGGAGGAGCCGTGGAAAGGGGGAGTGGAGGCAGAGGGCGAAGGAGAGCCTGGAGACTGGGCGGAGTCCCCGAGGTGGTGCACAGTGGGGGCACGGGTGCAGTGTCTGTCTGTGGCGGTCTCGGAAGGGACGCTGGCCTCTTGGGGAGGGAAGCAGTGTCATCAGACCGAGTGACAGTGGGCAGAGCTGCGAGTGTGTGTGTGGACACAAGGCGTGAGTCTACTGAGGGAGAATCTGTCCCCAAGGAGGCAAACACATGGGACGTGCCCCTCCCTTTCCCCTGTGGCCACGCTGCGGCTCAGTCTGGGGACCGGCTACTGAGTCTGTTCATGTGCATGTTTCCTAGAGAAACGAAGGCGACCTCTTCCACCGGCTGTGGCACATCATGAATGAAATCCTGGACCTGCGGCAGCAGGTGCTGGTGGGCCACCTGACCCATGACCGGATGAAGGACGTGAAGCGCCACATCACTGCCCGCCTCGACTGGGGCAATGAGTGAGTAGGGGCCACCACAGGGTCCGCCTCGGGGAGGTGCAGGGGGGAGGCGGCCGAATACCTCAGACACGGCACGAGCTGATATGCAGCATTATCTCTGGAAGATGCTTTATGAGGCTTTCTCAGTTGTTTCGTACAAACTGTCATTGATGGAGCCAAGAGCCACAGCCCCTGGGGCTGGTCTGGGGTGGGGACCAGGCTGTGGTTTGCTCCCCAGTCTCCTGGGTGGCCTGACGCTGGTCCAAGCTCGGGAACATGAACTGTTCACAGGCGCATGTGTTCGGGCTCCTGCTAGACTAGACCTGGTTTCCAGGTGGGCTCTAGGTTTGGCGTGCACAGTTCCTTTGAACACACACCTCTCTGCGCTGCAGCCAGAGGTCATGCTTGCAGTGCACAGGGAGACGCCAGGGTGCGGCGTCCGCAGCCCCCAGGGACGGTCTAAGCAGCGGGCCCTTCCTCAGGGCCGTGACGCCTCTCGTGCACCTCGATCAGCCTCTTTGAGAAGCTGCTTGGCAGAACTCAAGGCTGCTCTTGACTGAGGTTTACTCTGAAAGAAAATGAAGTGACTACAGTAACTAGTAACTACAAGTGAACTAGTAAATCGAATCACCTAAAGCTCCAATCGAGGCTGATGCTGCGCTGTGTAAGGACGGTCGCTGATGTGTGGGAGAGGAACGGGAAGCCGCCAGCTCCGACTCTGGTCCTGAGCACGCCTGGGTCTGTTTCAGGACGTTAAAAGGCCCCTCGGTATCGCCCTCCTTTCCTCTCCCGGATCTCCCTCCACCATTTGGCTGTCAAAGGTCTTAGAGCAGTAGAAGAAAAGAAACACGGACAGCAAAGGCAAAATGCAGGAGGCACGCCACGGGGGAGTTCGCCTCGTCTAGAACCTGGGAAAAACAGTTCGAAGGCAGAGAGCTCCTTCCCCTGCCTGTGCGCTGGCGCTGCACCTCTGACCCCTGCCCGCCCGGGACTTCCACAGCCACGGCTCGGCTCGTGCACGCAGATTAGCCTCTTGGGGCCAGGCCCACCTTGCAGAGCCCCATGTCAGCCCCACGACGCCTGGCACCTTGCCGAGTCAGACATGTCAGTCAGCAGAGCGGCCTGGTCAGTCAGCAGAGCAGCCCTCATTTTGCAGCTGGTCAGTCAGCAGAGCGGCCCTCATTTGTCTGTCTCTGGGAGACTCCTTCCTTGGGGCAGGGGGTGGGGGATGTAAAACACGTCCAGGTGTGCGGTGGCCACACGGTGATTATTTAGGAACTGGCTCTTTTAGGGCGCCAGGCACCTTCCTGAGCCCTGAGGGACTGCAGCGTGTTCACCTGTCCAGGGAGTGGGCTGGCCTCGGGGCGGCCCCAGGGCCCGCTTGCTTCTGAGCCGTGTGAATCCCACGCGGCATTTCCGCGTCCTGGGAGAGGGAGTCCGGCGGCCGCTGCCAGGAGCCCCAGCCTTGCTGGGGTCACAGGGCGGGTCTGGAGGAATCCGAGTGTGCCCTGTGTGGCTCGTTCACGGCCTTTTTTTTTTTTTCTTTTTTTAATTTTGGAAAATCTTTGAGTTTTCACCAAATTGTCCTGGCTCTTAGACATGATGCTGGTCCCTGTTTAAAAGATTTGTTCGTAATTAGAAGGAAGGTCAGAGGAAGTTAGCTTATCCAAACACTTAGAAACCGAGAGCGGGCAACGTGACCCTTTCCCAGTGCCAGGAGAGGAGGAGGTAGGATGGAGAGGGAGGAAAAATGCCACTGTGACGGAAGCCTGACGGTGTTTGGACCCCTGCCAGTTCCATCCGGCAGTTAGGGCATTTCTATGACTCATTCGTGGTAAATTGGCAAAACGTTGGTGCAAGAAAATGAGCAATAGAATGTATTTAGATCATCCTCAAAGTCATGCATTTCCTGGGCTCTCACTCTGTTTTCTCTGAATTTCTGTGACCTTTTATTGAAAAGTGACTTGCAGCACCCCAATGGCGCGCGTTTTCCTCCTTTAACTATCAGTGGTTTTAGGAAGAGTGCCTGACTGAAAGCAGATCCAAGTAGTAATTCTCTTGTATATTAAAGGAGATCTCGTTGCCCTTAAAAGGGCTCAGCAGCACGTGGACCTGCGGCTAAGTTAGGTAGGTGTTGGAGCTCAAGTTGCCTAGCAAACCACAGAGGGCGAAGAGATGCCCCCTGGGGGTGGGGAGCGTGCGAGGAGGGGCCGCTGACCGGCCTGTTCCCTCGAGGCCCCACGTGAAGGAGGTTTCTGTCCTGGGAGCCTCAAGCAGGAGTTCAGGAGTGGAACCTGTCTGTTCCTACTGGCTCCTCTGCTGTCCTTCGACTTTCCTGCAGAGTGTATGGGACAGAGAGTTTGTTCCTCCTCCCGCCTCATTTCCCAGAGCAGCTCCGTGTCGGCGCTGATACAAAACTTGACCCCCACCATGGGGCTCCCGAATCCCGTGTGCTCCTGCCCCCTTGCCCGCATCCCGGCCACCTCATTTCTCCTGCTGTCTGAAGCGCTGCTCCGCCCAGGCTCTGTGGGCCTAGAGACCTCAAACAGCAGGCGGTCCTCCTTGGGACAGACTGCGGCGCTAACAAAATGGAAACAGGTAGACTCCCTTCTCACAGCCGGGCGTCCAGGAAGCCGGCAGCCGAGCAGTCGGGGCTTTGGGGAGGAAAGGCTTGCTCCTGGGCCCCAGAGCCCAGGAAGGTTCTGGAGCCCACACCTGCTTCGGAGCCTCGCCGCTGGAGGTGGCTTTGACCCCCAGATTCCGAGGTCATGTGAACCAGCTGCCCGTCATGTGTCTTCACTTCCTTCTGCCACAAGGCCGATGCTGTTTGAATTTCCAAATTCAATTTCTCGAAGAAGGAAGCTCCCTGACAGGCAATCTGTTATTCCTGCTCACACTGAGCATTTCGTACCAGCCGCCCGGAAGCTGCCGGCCAGTCCGGAGATGAGTTGTCCGCAGGTCAGCAGCGTGCGTGCTGTGTGCAGCCAGGGGCGGCTCGGGGAGAGGCGATGTCAGGTGAAGCCCGCATCAGCCCCCGCCTCCCAGAAGACAGCGTGGGCAGGGCCGCTTCCCTGCGGAGGAGGCCTGGGGAAGGCGGAGGCCGCAACCGTGCGTGGCCGTGTGCCCTCTCTCCTCTGCCAGGTGACGTTCCTCAGCAGTGCTGACGCTGTGTCAGATTATGTCTTACATTGCAGCCTAGCGGTTTCCCTTGGGACGGGATGGAGAAGGGGGGCCGGATCCCCTCGGCACCCCGGGGTCGTGCCCGCCTGCTCGGGCTGCCGGAACCCAATACCGCAGACGCGGCAGCTGAAACGACAGACATGGTTTTCTTCCAGCTCCGGAGGCTGGAAGTCCCTGACCGAGGTGCCAGCAAATCCGGTTTCTGGTGAGGGCCCGCGTGTTGGCTTGCAGGGGACCGTTTTCTCACTGTCCTCACGTGGCCTCTCCTCTGGGCTCGCACGGAGACAGCGAAATCCCTGGTGTCTCTTTCACTTCTTATGACACCAGTTGTGTGCTGTTCGGGCCCCGCCCTTAGGCCTCACCTCGCCTCACTGCCTCCTGATTGTGCCCCCTCCGAGTGCAGCCGTGCCGGGGGTAGGGCTTCCACGTATGACTATTTGGAGGACACAGGTGAGTCCATCCGTGGGAGACATGGGCATTTTGAAAACAAATGGTGGTTAAGTTTCTCCCACAGAATTATAATGGATGGAAGTTTAGAGACTAGCCTGGCATCTGAAAGACACTTTCTGCTGTTAAGAAGGCCATGGTCTTTTCCTCTCCTGCAGGACAAACGCCCCTCGGCGCGGCTGGGGACGCAGGCGCGGGATTGATAAATCCTACCTATGGCGCCTCTGAGGGGGTTTCGGTGAGGGCGGAGAACTTTGGGAATCAGAAGGCACGGACGGGGGGCAGAGAGGCGGCTGTGCGTTGAGAGGTGCGGGAAGCCGCCTGTGTTGGGCCGAGTTGGGACACGAAAGCCGCGCAGAGGAGGGGCCTGGGCAGTGGACGGTCATCGTGCAGAGAGATGGTGTCTTGGCCTTGCCCCTCCGGGCATGACAGGGGCATCACGAGACCCGTGGGATGGTCGTGGGTGGTTAAGGAAACGAATAAAATGGCCTGCTGTTGAGAGCAGTGGTATAGCAGGCGCATCCTGGCGACAAGTCAAGGTCGCAGAGGGAGATGGGCAGGTTGTGCTCTTCTGCCTCTCGAAGGTGAGACCAGTCACACCGCTCGATCCTCCTGAGGCTGGAGGCTGGAGGCTGCTGCAGAAGGCGTCTCGGCAGTGAGCCGCGCATTGGCCATGGCGACCCCTGACATGAGGGATTAGACCGTTTCTCCAGCCCCGGCCCGTCCCTGCCTGCCTTGAGTTTCCCCAGTGACTGACGCCAGAACTTGCCACGAGTGAATGACACCCGCGTGCAGGTTGCCCAAGAGTCCCGTTAGAAATGAGTTAGCTGCGCACGTCGCTCGGCATTTTGGTGCCTGGTTACATCCTACAGGCCAGGCTTGCCTCCTGGCAACTCCCATTCCTGGAGCAGAGTTACGCCTGGCTCCGACACGCGGTCCAGGGTCGGGGGATTCTCTGGGGGCAGTGCGCGGGGTGCTCAGGGGTCCCTCTGTACGAGGCCGAGGCCGCCTCGCCAGCCCCTCCCCCGCCGTGATTTGCCTGCCCCTCATCATCTCCTGCCCTGGGTCCAGCCTGGTTACGGGGGCTGCCCCAACCACGGTAACAGGTAGCGCCACCTAAAACACGTGGGTGGGAAAAGCGCGGTGGCTGCTGTGTCTCATTCCGAGGCACCGTAGTAAAAAATAACAATTGCTAACGTAGTCCCTACAGGTGACTGTTTTCTCAGACTTTTGCCATTTGTTTCCCAGGCAGCTGGGCCTGGACCTGGTGCCCAGGAAGGAGTACGCCATGGTGGACCCAGAGGACGTCAGCATCACCGAGCTCTACCGCCTGGTAGGTGCGGGGCGCTGGCTCCCCTCACCCCCACCGCCGTTCTGTGGCGACCGTGACGCTCTTCGCTCTTTTGTCCAGTCTAGCGAGACGCTTGCAGGCCCTGCATGCTTGTCTGTTGTGGTGCAGGACAAGGTTGTGACTGACAGTGCTCAATCCTGGCCCACGGGTGTGGGGGCCTCCTGCCCCGCTCAGACACCTGAGTGTGTCTCCTCAGCCTCCAACTCTGGGTCTAACCCGGCCACCCCCAAGCTGTTCTCAGCGCTGAGGCCTGTGACTAACCCTAGAATACTCGATCACGTTGCCCGTCCTGGCATCACCCCTGACTTCATTGATCTGTTATAAAAACTGAGAAGTAGTGAGACCTCGAACTTGGAATACTCCAGTTATTTTCTAAGCATCTAGCTTCCTCACATCTGGTCCAATGTACCTTTTATTTAGCCTTGTATTCTCAATACTTGTATAAAATAGACCTAATTCTTGACATGATCAAAGCTCTCCTAAAAACCCAAATTTGGAGAAGGTGGTTAGGGAGGCTTTCAAAGGCCACGGCCCCAGGTATGATTCTAGTTACTGCTGCGTCTTTTTCTTGTCTTTTCTTTCTTTTTTTTACACAACTATAGTATATACAGAAAAAGGATATATAAACATCAAAATGTATTTCTCTGGAGAGTTAAGAGGTGACATTTTCTTTCTTTGCATTATTTGACTATATTCCAAATTTCTACAACAAACATTTCGTGACCAAAAAATAAACAAATATTTTAAATGAAAATAAAGCCTTGGTTATTTGAATGACGTTTACCCTAAGCCATTACAAGTTTTAAAAGGCTTTTTTTTTTCAGTTTTTATTGTATTTTTCCCACTCCCATTTAGCCCCCTTATTCCCGCTCCCCACCCCACAATCACCACACTGCTGTCTGCGTCTGCGAGTCTTTTTTCCTCTCAAATATGGTATTTGTCTGTCTCTGACTGGCTTATTTCACTTAGCATAATGTTCTCCAGGTCCATCCATGCTGTTGCAAAGGGTAAAATTTTCTCTTTCTTTACAGTTGAGTAGAATTCCTTTGTGTAAATGTCCCGTAGTTGCTTTATCCACTCATCTGTTGGGCTGCTTCCATGTCTTGTGATTGTAGATAATGCTGCGGTGGACGTAGGGGTGGCCTTACTCTAATGTCCCTTGGAGGGGCGCCTGTGGTGGATAGCAGACTCCTTTTTGGAAGACCCTGCCTCGTTTGGGGTAGCTTCCCAAGCCTACAGTATTTACGGTGGGATGTTCTTGACATGAGATATTCTGTACCCGAAACATGCTGGGAAAGATCGTCAGTAAATTCATGAGGGCTTGTGTCTGATTTGAGAAAGCTGTTCTAAATGCCCCTCTCAGTTTTTCCTTAATCACTGATCTGTTTGGATTATCTACACCTCATTATACAAGTTGAAATAGATTCTGTTTTTGTAGAGGATTTCCTTTACATTGACCTGCCTAGAGTGACATTTCACGCTGCCCATGCTCACGGCTGCGGGGCTGAGGATCTAGGCACAGTGAGAACACAGGTCGCGGGCAGCCGGAGGGAGGCGCAGAGAAGGGGCAAGGGATGACATGAGAGTATTCCAAGTTACAGCCCTCACAACCTCTTAGTTTTTATAACAAATCAAACCCGTGTTATTTAGTTGTCAGTCATATCCTCTAATTGGGCATCTTTTGGTTGAGTATCATATTTTGTCTCTCACCTTTTTTTTTTCTTCTCAAATCTCTCAGTCAATGTGAAGTTTCTTTAGAGTGGGCACTGTGTCTTCTATTTCTTTTATTATGCCCAAGGTCATCTTGTACAATGCTTTGCACTTAATGAAAAGTCAACATGTTTGAGGTCATTATAGCATTATAAAAAGACCATGGGTATAGATCCAAACAGCTAGATTTGATTTCCATCCCTTCTGTTTACCAGCTCTGTGATCTCGGACTGACTGCTTAATCTCTCAGAGTTTCAGTTTCTCCATGTGTTAATTGAGGTTCTAATTCTTACCATTTTTTTTTTTTTTTCAAATGAGGATTAAATAGGAAATGCAGGTAGAAAGCCTTTTCCTTGACATGATGTTTGCAAAGTGCCTAAGCAGTCATTCTATTTTCGTTTTTAGTTTATCCTTATTAGATAGGCAAGGTGTCCAAGATAATTGATACTTTATATGCTAAAGCTTAAGATTGGATTTGGCTGTTTACTGAAAAAAATAATAAAATCTTGGACATGATAGAAATTTATTTCTCTCTCACAATATGCAATTCCAAAAGCAAGAAGTTCTGGGCTTGTTTATGATTGCTTGGTGTCGAAATGCGTGCAGGCCCGTATGTTTCTGCTATGCAGTTCATAGCTTCTGTTGGGAATACTTCAAAGTACAAAATAGCTGCAAGAGTGGCTAGCCATTGCATCTGCTCTCTAGCCGTAGGGAGGAGAAAGGTTCCTCTCAGTTGATTCAGCTACTTCAATGAACCTTCCTGCAAATTCCACATAACACTTGTGCATCTCATTCACCACAGCATAATCGCATCCTCATATTTAGGGAGGGATGTCAAGTATTTGATTAAACAACTAACAACGTCTGACGCAAATACACTTTATTTTCCCTGGACTGATTTTGTGTGCCAGCAATTTTATCTCTGCCCATTTCACTTAATGTCGCATATGGAATGGCAAATGGATTTCCTCTTTCAACACTTCCAGTTTGTTAGTGGTGGCTGTGGGGGTGCCATATTGATAAGGCTGGGGGTATCATATGGGCTCTGATTGGTAGGCAATGACTGTTACTGGTGGGAAAGAAGCACCATTAATTAGCCATGACTGCCGTGGGAGGGTTTCGGTTGTTTTCGTTTTCGTTTTTGTATTTTATAGCGCAAATCCTAGTCTACAGTCTTCATTTTATAGATGAGGAAAATTAAACATTGTGATTTTACACGAACATTTAATTTCTCCTGAGCAGTGGTTGCATTTTTCGGTTTCTAAAGCCAAGAATATAGGCCAAGGAAAACCCAGATGCTTCCACTCTTCAGAGGGGCCTGTTTACACCCTGGCCGGTGGCACTTGTGTTGTCTGTAACACTTGGTCTGTTTCTCTGGGCGACATCAAAATGACTGAGGACATTGACTTCCCAGGGAGCCAGGACAGGCACAGCCACCAACCCCTTGTTTTTGTTTTTGTTTTTGTTTTGGTGGCAGGGAGCCAAAGGCCCCAACAGAGGATGTTGCCACTTCTCTTTTTTACTACATCCCCCCCCCCCCGGCTGCCGCATCCTTCAAACACAGGTGTTAGCATCTCACTAAGTCCATATTGCATCATTAAAAAAAAAAAAAAAAAAGCCTTGCTTTAGGGTTTTGATCACCTGATTAGCAGGTCTTTCTCGCCTAATTGTGCTCATCTAAGCAGTAAAAAGTGCTAAAGCCCACAGTGCTGACATATGTCCTCTAGGAAGGTTTGCTTTCCTACCAGAGACTGGATCCTGGTTTTTCTCTGAATAAAGGGAAAATCAGCAGCTGGATTCTCTGGCGATTTGCACATGTAGAGAACCTACTTAGGAACCTTTCAAGGTTTTCTAAATTCATATTACCTGCTTGTTTTGTGATCCTTAGCGGGCAGACCGGTGGTTCTCAGAGGCAATCCCCAAAAGCCCCGCCCCTGCCCCTCCCCAAGATATTTGGCAGTGTCTAGAGCCAATTGGGGTGGCGTGGGGCGGGGGTAGGGAGGGGTGCTTTTGGCATCTGGTGGGTAGGGGCCAGAGAATGCTGCTGATCATCCTCCAAGCTCCCGGCAGCCCCCAAGCAGAGAAGTATTCAGCCCAACGGCCACCAGCGCCGAAGTTAAAAAGCATGATGTTGATGAGTCACTGAGTAATGAATGCATTAGATGAGGATCAAACATTTGCATCACTTAACTCTTTGGAATGAATCTCTTTATTTTCCTAATCAACAGTCTAGCTGAGCTGTAAGTACATTTTGAGTCGCTGGTAGGGGGCTTTGCAACCATAAATTATTTCAGAGATGGGCTTTTGTCTGTCTGCTGTAACTCCCAGATTATAGCTTGTGCAGCGTGAGCGTGCCTTTTGAGTTTTGTTATGGTAGCAATATTTTCACAGAGGTATCTTTAGCAGTTCCCCAAAGTAGTGAATTGCCAAGGAGTGAACAAGCCATCACCCCTCCTTGAGTCCAGGTCCTCCCGAGACCCGGAAGAAGGGCGAGTGAGGGCAGAGTGTGGCATCATGAGGCCCCGCGTCACGGGCAGCGAGGGTGGAATCGGGCAGGCTCATCACCGGGGTGCATGCAGAGGCCAGCGGTTTGAAGGCGCTGCGGGTCATACAAGAGGTACAACGGCCTGTTTTCGTTCGGCTGTGACTGGCATCTCTGCGTATGATTCTCAACTCGCTGCCCATTAAAGTCAGCGGGGAGCTTCGCAGAGGCACTGTCTGGGGCCAGTTCCCTAGAAACTCCCACTTAATTGTCCTGGGATCTGACCCAGCATGAATTTGGGAAGGGCCCCCTGGCGACCCCAAGGGCGTTGGAGGCTGGAAGCTCTGATCCGGTAACAGAGCCCGTGTCCCCCCTGGTTTTCAGTGAACTGATCCGGGAACTTGGCAGTGAGCAAAGACCAGGCACCTTGTGAGGTCCATTCTTTCCCTAAGGTTTTAGAAACAGTTTCTCCAGTGCCAGCCTTCACGAGTCATTCATTTCTCCGTAGTGGCTGGTGCTGTGCTATCCTAAGTCTTCAAGTAAACCAGTAAGCGAGTGGCAGTTTCGGTGGGGGAGGTGGAGGAGGAGAAAGCTTATTTGTGAATTTAAAGAGGTGTAGTTTTATGACTGTCTGATGTCACCTCTGATCTGGTAAAAAGAATTTCAAAAGCACAACATAGAGCGACCTTCATAGAAAACAAGGCAGAATTATGCTTCTTCGTATAGTTAGAATTTTTTTCCCCGCTCAGGGGCTTTTTCCTGGTAATTATGGCCAACACATTCCACAAAGCTGAGGTCCACTTTAGAAGAAAATGTACTTTTTCTCTACTTTTACAGAGACGTCTCTGGCACGTCTGTTGAGTAGATGATGATTCTAGTTGCCTTGGGTCAGTTGCGTTTTTTTTAATCACTTACTCTTTGAGTAGTTCAGATTAAAAGATAGAAGCAGGAAACCTTCTGGTGATTTTATGCTGTTGCATTCCCTGCTGTACGTTTAGGTGACATATTTTGCCTTCAGATGTCAGTCAGCCACTCAGTGCTGAACTGCTCTTGAAAGCATGAACAGTGGCTAGTGTAGAAATGGGTTATGGAACTCGAACTCGAGCAAAGGACATGACTCCTTCACCATGGAGTTAAAACCCAGACCTACTTTTTTTTTTAACTGTCAAGTGATTCAAAGAGATGGCTCTTTTGGTCACCTGTGTCCTAAGAACCAAACTCCTCTACAATCCTAGTAACCTGTCCTGTTAACCCACAAGCCTCTGCCTATGGTCCAAGTATAAAATGGCGAGTGAATGGTTAGAAACATCGGTAACATTTTTCCCCATGACATTTTCACCGTGTTTTATGAAAATACTGGTCTTCCATGGGTTAGGGGGAGAAGCCCGGTCCTTCCACGCAGTTCGAGAGGCCCTCACTTGTGGTTCATGGACCCGCCCACACGTGGCTCTGGGCTAATGTGGTGCGTCCCCCAGTTGCCTTCCATGATGCCCAGACACAGGCCAGGCCCCCCATAGAGCGTCGGGCGAGCGTCACCCAGATCTAGCCCTTCCTGTCACCTGTGCGTCACACTTGCCGTTTCACGGTGTCGGGTGTGGGACCGCTGTGGCGAGGTCCGTTCCCGCCAGCAGGCTCTTCCTGTTTTCCCTCGTCTTTGCCTTCCGCGCACTTGGCATGTAGTAGATCCTCCCCAGACACGTGCTGAGTGAGTGGTCGGCCCACATTCCCCTCCCTCCGGCTCCTGCCTCCCAGGTGTAGCCTAGGCTGGCTGTGCCGAGGACAGAAGCGACGGGCGGACTCAGACGCTATCTGGTTTTGGACACCTCCCTGGCGTTCGCCCGTCTGCGCCTGTGGAATCCCTGAGAAGTTAGAAACATTTCCTGGTTCTGCCAATTGGGTATCATTTCCCATTGCCTGCCTCAGAAAACTACCCAAATTGTGCAATTTTGTATACTTTAAAAGAACTTTTACTTGGAGAAATTGCGAAGTCATAGTTGCATTATTTAGCTACCATGAGGGAAATGATCAGTCAGATATAAGTTATTCTGATTTTTTTAAAAGATGCTAATAATTTGTTCTCACCCTGGGAGTTGGTACGGGAGCAGTGGAATTCTTTGAACCTCACGCTGGAATCTATGCAGTGCGTTGGTACCCTTTTAACATGAATGATTAAAAAAACATTCTTAAAGCCAGATTCCTTGATGGTGTGCCAACTTGATAGTTTCTTATTTTAGAAGTTGGGAGAAAAGTTGGAATTTAACATCCAGCTACATACCAAATCCGGGGGGGGGGGGCGGAGAATTACAGACGGTCTTCAAATGACAAAGATTCAAGTTAAGACTTTTCGACTTTGCAATGTACACGTGGGAAAGCAATGCACATGCAGTAGAAACCATGCTCTGGGCGGTGCACGTTGACCTGTCCTGGGCTGTGGGCTGTGCACGTGGACCTGTCCTGGGCTGGGCGGCGGCGGCCCGGCCCGTCCGCCCCGCGAGCACGGGCGCCAGCCAGCGGTGCTCTGCGGCGCACTGCGCGGCGGCGGGTTTTGCATGTTGTGTTTTGTGTTTTCCCCTCCCGTCATGCCCATCTCTGTGTCCTGCTTCTGGGAGAGGAAGAGGAAGGCGAGGCCTGGTGAGCTGGAACCCAGGAGGCGGCCCCGCTGGAGGCTGCTGTGTTTGTCCTGAGCACGGGCCGGTGGGCGGGGCTGAGCTGTGACGTCCCGTAGATTCGACCCGGCCGACGCCATCTCGGCTGGAGGTGTTCGCCCCTCCCGAGGAGTGTCTCGGAGGAGCCTCTGGATCGCCTGGGACGTCACGGTCACACCACAGCTCGCAAGTCCGCCCCATCCCATTGTCTCCTCACTGATGGCGTTTCTGTTGGGGGGTGTCGTTCAGATGGAGCATCGACACCGGAAGAAAGACACGCCCGCGCAGGCCAGCAGCCATCACCTGTTTGTGCAGATGAAGAGCCTCATGTGCTCCAACCTGGGCGAGGAGCTGGAGGTCATCTTCTCGCTCTTCGACAGCAAGGAGAACCGGCCCATCAGGTAACTGACCGGGGGCTGCAGCCGCCGCCGAGTGGGCGGGCGTGGGCGGGCGTGGGCGGGCGGTGGCAGCTCCGGGCCCGGCGACCCTGCGCACGGAGGGTCTTCCGCCGGCCGCGGTGCTCTCGGGCGGAGAGCCCTGTCCGAGCCTCCCGCCCGCGGAGGCCTCCTGCGAGCGAGATGGGATGACCGTGCGAGGGGCTCGCCCAGCGCCGCCAGGGCCGCGGGACGGTAGCGGTCGCCATGGAACGGGCACCTGGCGTGGACGTCAGCTCTGGGCGGCTTTGTATTGTGACTCAGGGAAGGCACAGTCTCTGAAGTCTGCCTGTCAAAGTCAACACATTGTAGGTTTCAAATTTTCAGTAAGCAGTTGCGTTATTCTTCATCCCACCTGGACCAAATGATATCAAGAGATGATCAAAATACTTGGAAACTTTCCTATGAAAAGTTTTAGAGGTGCGAAATGATAAGCAGTTTACATATATATGTACATATACTTGTATTTTTTCTTTCTCGGTGCTTTGGGTCTGATGGTTGCTGTTCTCTATGGTAAGCTTTCAATATTTAGGAAAAACTTACAGTGCATGTTTTTGTGTACCTTAAACTTTATTATGTATTTGTGCTTTAAAGTTGAGCACAATGCATACCATCTTTTACATTAAAAGTTTTCCAATTTAAATTTAGAATTTAAATTGTACTGTACAAATCACACCTCATGCCCCAACTGCATCATGCTTTAAAAAATACTTACCAAAATCAATGCAATAATTTTAAGGAATGCTGAGCCACATTGTTTTGGAAACACAAAAGAGTCCTGGCATATTTATTTTGTGGTAAAAAGTGTTTTTTTCCCCTAGTAAATATGCATGAAGTTTATTCTTCATGCATTGATAGCCATAAACTCTTCGGGGAATTTCTGTATATGTTAATCACTGCCTATTAGGAAGTGCACTTTCTATTTCTTGACATAGAATGTGTCCTTAGAATTTGCAGGTGCTGTTATTTTGCAGCAAGGACAGAATTTTGAGGGGTAGAAATAACAATGGTAATTCAATTTCAAAATCTACTCTCTGGGCTGTCGGAAGACATGAATCCATGAGTGAGAAAACCTTGGCCACTTCGCAGGTCAGCCCTGCTAACGTGCAGAGATAGAGGCAGGAGAAGCGGGCCCGGGAGGCAGCGGGCACCTGCTGTGGACGGGAGCTCGATTACTGGAGGTGGTGCCCGCTTCTGTGCAGAGGCAGGACCCTCACAAAGACCCTCACAACCGTGTGCGTGTGCTGCGTGCCCTGCGACATGTGACAAACCATGTGGAGTGTAAGGGGTGAATGAGGTCACGCTTTTGCTCATTCCCGCGAGGCCAGCGTTTTCCGTGAATGTATACTCCCCTCTGCACTAGTGTCCCAAGTGCGTTCATGGAGGGTCGCAGAAGTGTAGCCTCCGCTGCCCCGTCCTCCGTCTCAGAGCCACCGGCGTGCCCTGGAGGAGCCAACGAGGGCGAAGTGCGTGCATCTCGGAAACCTGTGCGGCGTGCTGAGGTGCGACTGTGAGGCGTTGCTGTGCTTCTCCGTGCACCCAGCCACGGGCGCCGTGTGGGACGTGGGGTTTTTAAAACCATCATGTATTTCTTTTTTCAGGTTTTTGTTTTGGAGAATTTCAGATGTATCCATAAGAAACAGACTAGTGTGACGAGGCCTCGTGTTCCCACCCCCAGAGTCCACAATCCTCGATCGGGCGCCTCTTGTTTTCGGCGCGTCCCTCTCTAGGCGTCGTCTGCCCCAAGGTTACTTGGAGGCAAATCCCTGACATCTTATTATTTTCAAATGTAAATTACTTCAGGGCATATCTCTAAAAAGGGGAATTGTAGAGCAATCACCACCTGAAAAATTAATACTCCTTAGCGTCATGAGACACCCATTGCCACTCAGTACTCAGATGTCCCCTGTTGACTCCCAAATACTGTCTACAGATGTCGCACAAGGCATCTGTCGTTTACAAGATCTAAGGGAGGTCCTTATGTTGCAGCTGGTTGATGTGTCTCTCAGGTCGTCTGTAGGTTCCCTCTCCCACTCCCACCTAACGTCCTTGTCATTTATTTGCGGAAGAAGCCTGGTGGTTTGATTTCATTCTTTTTCAGATTTCAAAGTCCAAGCCAGAGAATGCCAATCAGAAGACAAAAGATGATATAATGAAGCGAAAGGTTTTGTTGTTAAATAAGATCATTAGTGCTGTAATTTACAGAAAATGAAATACAATCTAAAGTGTAATCATTGTGACATTGTCGTGAGCCCTGTCAGAGGAAGTTACCTGGTTCAGATGCAGGTGGCTGGGCCATTGTGTGCCACGTCTTCAGAGGTGTGATTCGGAAGGGTGGGTGTTTGTTCCTCTCGCAAGGCAGACAGCGGGTTAAGACATCTTTTTCAAACTTACCCCCTTTGGAAAGCAAACAGCCAACATTTATTGAGCACTAACCATCTGCCAGGCTTCTACGTAAATGCATTAAATATTGTGGGGGAAAGAAAAACGTCCCCCTTCCCTCCTTTGGGTCATTTGGCTGGTTGAATAGGCAAATGGACATGAGACAGATTAACAAGAGAAAATCAGATTTAATGTTGGGCTCTTGGGAACCCCACACATGTGAGAGGTTCAGAGACAGGGAGGGCAAGGCAGGGAGAGACGGCGCCTGAGCGGAGGATGAGGGAGGCTCCTGGGGCCTCAGCGGGTCCCTGCCGAGGGGAAGATGGGCAGGTGTCCCCAAGCACGCAGGCTCGGAGCCCGTACTTGGAGGCTGGCCAGAGGCACAGCAGAGAGCGATGTGGCCCCCGTCCCACCCTCTCCCGGCCTCACGCCCAGCCCCCAGGGGCTCAGCCACCTTCCTCCTCAGGGGCATTTGTCCCTCTGTGTCTTAAGTTTCCATATCAAGCAGGATTTTATTGGCCAGAGTCAGAGCTCCGAAAACGGGAAGTCTTCATAATCAGTTGTTATAATTATTGATAATGAAACTAACACTGGGCCTCAGATATCCCCCGAAACCCGCTTAAAGACGAGCAGAGTGGCTTCGGCTCTCACTGTGCGCTGGGGGTCACTCTCGGAGGTCTCGTCCTTGGGGGTGTCCAACGCACGTGCGGAAACGACCCCTTCCCGTTTGCACAGCGGACCCACGAGGCATGTGGTATGTCCTCGGGTAGCAGGAAGCATGCCATTTCTGACAAAATCTTAAAGCACATTGTCGCTGAAGTGGAGCCACATTCAGGAAGCTCCATCATTTCATCTCAAAACCGTTTCTGCCGGGGCATGGCCTGGGATGTTAGGACCCCCGGGCGTGTGGGGGCCGCTCCAGCGGGAAGGGCCGATGCGGCCTCAGACGGGTCCACGCAGCGTCTGCCTAACGCGCATCCCGCCGGTCTTTTCTGGTTTGTCGTCCTTGGTGGTTTGGGTACCGACACAGCCGCCCACCCCTGTGGGCCACCCAGACAGGACTCTGCTCTCAGCAGACAGAACAGTCTTGTGTGACTTCTCACTTTAAAAGAGAATTTACTTGTTAAAAAAAAAAAAGTATGCCAAATTAAGTTTTATAGGAGTGAAATGTATTTAGAGAGTACCTGTCTCAGTTTATAGTTCCCGCAGTGCGGAAGGGTCTAGCTACAAAGTCAGGGGCTTATTTTCCCAGATAGCCTCTGTGATTTCACTTTATTTGCTTCAATCCCATTCGATTTATTTAGCAAACGCTTATATCATGCTTACAGTGAGCCAGGCACTGTTCTCAGCTCTTTAAAGAATTAACTTGTTTATTCCATGTAACAATCCTGGGAGGTAGGTACTGTGAGTTGCCCGTTTGGTCGTGGGTTCTTAGGGCAGCCGTGTGTTCCAAGGGAGCGGTGGTTCTGTTTCAGGTGGATGCTGTTGCAGTTGTGTGAGGCGGGGGGGGGGGGGGGGGCTGAGGGAAGGCCATCAGGGCGATGATTGGCTTCAAAATATTTCAGCAACAGAACAAAAGAGCCTAAAATCAAAGACAGAATAAATATGGTAAAATTTATGGCTTGTGGGTTCCCGCGTTAGGTATATGGGTTCTTGGTTTTATTTTTATCATAGAGTCTGAATGGCTAATGAATTAGCTGCTTGACATCGATTCATGTTTTATGCATGTGGGCAACAAAGCGATGAAAACAGGCATTTTTTAAATTTCTTTAAAGAATACGGGCTTATTAGTCTGGTCTAGTCGCCCACCCCATAGATGGCCGGGATTCCATTCTGCCTAGAGTAACATCGCTGGTTTCCAGTGAACTGGCGATGGTATTTTTGATACTGTATTGGGCAGAACTTAAGAGGAATGTTGCCCTAATGGTCTAGGATATTCAGTATTACAAACACAAATGTGATCATTTACTTTTACAGCATAAACTCTGAGTCATGGATAAAGCAAGATGGGTGACTGGGAGAAGATTAATGTTCTGTGAGAGGGAATGCGTCTCATGCTTAAGCACAGCCTTGCACCCCCAGAAGGACCCCTGTCCCAGAGACTCTGAATCAGTGCAGGTTCATCGCCCCAGAGGGGAGGGAGCTGTCCCCTCCCGTGAAGGGCGTGCTCCCCCCCCCCCCCCGCCCCCCGTCCCCCCCCCCCCCCCCGCCGGCGCCCCCCTCCTCGCGCAGGTGCTTCAGGATATCTGCCCCATGCCCGCAGGGCGAGGCCTGGCTGGGGATGCAACGTGGACCCCGGGGCACGTGGCGGAAGGGACCTGGGCACGCGTGAGGAATCGCCTCCGAAATAGAGGAAGGGCCCTGGGGAAGGGAGACAAGGACAGCGACACGGGCGTAAATGTTAACGTGGAGAAGAGACTGGGTTTTAGGCTGGACCGTTTGTGAGTGACATGGGGAAACAGATCATCTGCTGTTCAGGAGCAAAAGGGAGGCAACGCGGAGTTTGGAGCAGGGAGTAAGTTGCAGGAACACAGGCTGTGGACTCGGGGCCAAGCGGGATAGGAGGACGTGAGGTCGGGACGAGT